TGAACATTCTAAACTAACACGAGTCTCATTAAGTGTCAAGTTTAAGGGTATTACCCAGAAACACACCACAATAACATGAATCAAATATGTACTTTATTCATTTACAATAAATGTCATAATATATGTCATTCTGATTGGAGGTAAGGGCATACAACTGTCTAACATAGACGAGGGCTCTGAGGAGGCTACTCTTAAATACTGAATTTCCAAAGTGAGAACGTTTAAGTTTTGTAGTAGGATCAGATCTCAGGATTATGATCCCTCACCTGGAGGGGGGTACCCCCTAGTCATTCCCATTCTTGCTAGAATGACATTCTTCCATTTGAGGGAATTGCCATTCCCTGCCCCTTCCTTGAGAATGAAATTCCAGTCCTGCTCACTCCAATTTTCATCCCCATTCCTATCTGGACCAAGCAGACTATGGGAACGGACCATACCGTTGATTCTGATTCCAAGCGATTTCGATTCCAATTTTGAATGCAAACCAAACATACCCTAAGGCCCCATTTGGTTCATAGGAATAGGGTCTGGAATCGGAATCAGAATGAGTTATTCTGATTCTAATTATTAGATTGGGTGGAATCAGAATCCCATTTCCATTCATGTTGAAATGGCATTCTCCCATTTGAGGGAATGACCATTCCCTGCCCCTCCCTTGGGAATGAAATCTCATTCTTGCTGATTTCAATTCCCATTCCCATTCCTGTCTGAACCCAACGGACTATGGGAATAGACTATTCCAATTATGATTCCAAAGGATTTTAATTCCGATTTTGATTGTTAACCAAATGGATCCAAAGTTATTTTTTATTCACAACATGACTTTTAGACGTGTCACACTTCAGCAAGAAACCCATATCTTACCCATTTATAAAAAAGAATAAATAGATGAATCGTCCAACACCCTGATTTTATATTTCCAATCCTACCCCTCCATGATTTTATATTTTCATTCTTATCCCCCCTTAAAATGCTTGAAGAGAATGGGACAAGTAGAGTTTGGGGGTTTCCAATCCTACCGCTCCCTGATTTCATTTTTCCAATCCTATCCCCTCTTAAAATGCTTGAAGAGAATGGAAACGTCCAACACCCTGATTTTATATTTCCAATCCTACCCCCTCCCTGACTTCATATTTCCAATCCTATCCCTCTTAAAATGCCTAAAGAGAATAGGAGTATGGGACAAGTAGAGTTTGGGGGTTTCCAATCCTACCCCCTCCTTGATTTCATATTTCCAATCCTATACCCTCTTAAAATGCTTGAAGAGAATGGGACAAGTAGAGTTTTGGCGAACACCCTAGACTACAAATGTTTGGTTCATTTTTAGAATAGGGCCAGTCCAACCAGATTAGTAATTGAGATAATTAATAAATTACTAATGCATTAATTAATAAATAAGTATATTACAATAATCTATAATTAATATATTAATTAGCGAGGCAATAATTAATAAATTAGAACAATTAAAGCATTACTATTATTAATAAATTTATTATTTATAATTATTAATCAATAATATTCATTTAAACTTACAAAAATAATAATAGTAATTTCTGAAAATAAATACAAATAATTAATTTATTAATAAATTACTATTATATTTATCAATAATTTCTAAAAAAAATTATTAATTGATTGTTGGTAAAAGATATTGAAATAATTACATTTCTAAAAATTATAATTACGATTCCAGATAATTATAAATTATTGATTAATTTCATTCAAAAATGAAAGATAGTTTGGTGTAGTTTTTGGAAATTATGGATAATTTATTAATTATCCAATACATTACTGAAATTATTGAAAATTTATTGATTATTCAACCAATAAATAATTATTGAAAATTAATAATTGATTATTTAGAAAATTAGCATAATTCTCACTATTCCATTTTCAGAAAATTATTGATTAATTTTAATTCAAAATAACAGATAAATTTGTGAAATTTTTGAATTTTATGACATTTTTTAATTTTTGGAATATTGTGGAAAATTATTGTAATTATTGAAAACTTATAATTATGTTATCATAATTTATAATTATTGAAATTTTTATTATTACCAATGTAATTATAATTATTACACTAAAATAATTGTTAGTGTAGTCTAACTAATTCCTTTTTTCATAATCTCAAATTGTAATTCCCATTATCTAATAATTTTTTGAAAAATTAATAATAGAAAAAACTGTGAATCTTGATTTAAAATAATGGAAATTAATAGTAATAATTATTGTTACATAATTAACAATTTTCCATTTTGTATCAATTCCAATAATGTAATTATTAAATTACACAAATTTCCATTATTTAAAAATAATAATTACTACAGAATTATAAATTACAATAAAATCTGTTATTTGAAATTACTGTAATTACAGTAATTTTGAAATACAGAAATTCCAATAATAATTATTAGTGTAATAATTACAGTTTGTTTCAAACTAATTTTATTACACTAATAAATCTTATCGGAATTTTATTGTAATAATTCAATTACAACAATTATTGTATTGAAAATTTTATTTCTAATTACAGATTTGTTTTTTATATTAACTTTATTACAGAAATAATTATCTTTGGAATTTTAGTGTAAATTATTATTTTACGGAAATTTATAACAATAATTATTATTGGAATTTTATTGCTGATAATAATTACAGTAATAATTATCATTGGAATTTACATTTT